GCAGAGGTGGAAAGTAATGAATTACAATTCCTCGCGTTACTGTAATTGAGTAGTTTTTCGTGTACTTATACTTTTGCAAGTCATTTTTATAATCTGTCATTTTATTTTTACTTATGTTTTATTTGAAGTATTGTACTTTGCTACATTTTAAATCACATCTTTTATTGAGTAAAAAAATAAATGTTTGCGCGTGCCTCAACGACAGGACTAACTGCTGGGGACAGTAGTGTTGTAGTAGAATATCAATAAATTACTTTTGCTTTGAGTGACTTTGATTGGATGTTAAACGTATTGCTTCAAACGCAGCCAATAACCCTAATTAAAATGTGGTGTTCCTGTTATCGACTGTCATCCCTCCCCGCATGGAAAAGGAGTGTTGAATAAAGATGCTTACGTTGATTTCAGCTCTTAGTGTTTGTATGTGGGTGTTTTAATGGGAATATGGATTTGTCAGATCACTTTGAGAAGTACCTATGATCTCGTTCCACATTTTGTTGTGTGTCATGTAATGTGGGGAACTGGTCTTGACTCGGTCTCACCCTCCTTCGGTCTTGGTCTCAGCCCTTAAAGTCTTGGTCTTGTCTCGGTCTCAGTTTGGGCAGTCTTGACTACAACACTAGCGGACAGTCCCCAGCTGCAGTAGCAGTAGGTGATCGTTCCCTCTGGCTGGATGAAGTCTGACGCTCATGATTTTAAGCATGATCCATGATGATATGGAAAAATAGTTGTGAAAGGCAAAATTAGCATGTCATATCTTATTAAGAGGAGCCAAACTCCCCCTGGCTCCCCTGTAGTTCGCACCCTGCTTGCAGGCAGTTGGTAACAGAAGTTCTTATAGTTAAGAGGCTTTGGTCAAATTAGCCAAAAAGACATCGGTGCATGACATTGCTAATGTTGTTTGGCTCTAGCAACCTGCTGGTATCTAGTTAATTATGCTTAGGCTTATTTTAATTATAATTTAAATATGCTAACGCCTATAATGTCCCATTAAAATTATCACCTGTTATAATGGAAATAGAGAGATGACTTTATACAGTCCTGTGTTTCCCATTTTCCCAGTCCAGTGTGGCCCACCATAGTCTGATCTGTTCTGCCACAGTTTCATAATGAAGCCAAAATATTCTCAAAACTTCTCTTAATAACATAAAGGTCTCTAACATTGTTTTCGCTATTGCTTTGTATCTGTCAAAAGAACTAAAATTGAAAGCGCAATATCAAATTACAAAAGACTGCGATTTAATTGAATAAGGAGGCCTGTAATAAGAATAAAAGTTATTTTAGGAGGTTAAAAAAGTAACTAACATTTACTCTGAGTACATTTTAAATGAGCTAATTTTACTTTAACATCAGTACATTTTTATACCAGTAATTTTACTTGTACTTAAGTAAAAGTTCATCAAAGTAATTGTACTTTTACTTAAGTAGAATATTTATGTACTCTTTCCACCTCTGGTTCTGTGCATGTTGGAAGAGAAGGATGTTGTTTAGCTATGTACATGTGATGTTGCCTTAAGGTAGTTGGATAGGGTGGTAGGATGATCAGGTTAAAAGCAGGGCAGGCCTGATGGTCTACAGTTCTGGGGGACTGCAGCAGCCCTGTGTTGTTTTGTTTTCTCTATGATTTACCTATTTCATTTAACATTTTTAACCCTGGCCTGACACTACATGCCAGCTTTTCAGGCCACCAGGAATTTTCCCGGTGCTCTTGTTGGAAGTTTAAATGAGGCCATACTTACCTTCCAGCTGTATACACTTCAGCTGTGTCAAACAGATTGATTCCATTCTCATATGCCAAAGTCATCAGCTCCTCTGCCACCTTCAACAGCAAAATGTGAGAAGATGAAATGAAGATGAGTAAAGTTCAAAACTTTTTTGTTTTCTCTCCCCCTGACCTCAGAGAAACCCTTCTGCTGACATGTTGAAAGGTTCTTCAAAAGGCAAACAGTTATATTAAGAATGCTTCATGATATAACCCATTTAATAAAGACTTTTGAGCTGTGCGGTAGAGTGGCTATAGGAATGGCAGTTAGTTGCTTGGTATATCCACCACTTCAGATCTCAACATCAGTTAGATGTATTGCTATATCTGTACCATTTTGGAAAGACATTCAAGGTCTGCGGATGAATGCTAATGACTTTGGTGATCCCTAAGATTTCCTCAGAGGAACTATTGGCTTGGCTGCCATGGATATTTAAAGTTTCTAATGACTTTGTCTTCAGGATGCACTGCCACCCAAATCACTCAGCTGTTTCTTATGTAAGAGGCTGCTGCACCTGTTGCATCTTTATGCAAGATTCACAATATTTTTTGATAAACCAATTTTTGTATTCATTTTATATTCATTTGTGTTTCAGTCATTAAATCCACAGCACTACAGTGAATGTTGTATATAGCAAGATGTGAAGCATTTGTTATATATATATATATATGTGTGTGTGTGTGTGTGTGTGTGTGTGTACAATTTCCTGCTGAGACGTAGTAGAAAATACTCAAGTAAAGTACAAATACCTCTAATTGTATTTAAAAGTGTGGGTAAAAATGATGTGTGTAAATTTATTATCAAATACATATTGGGCTGAAACATGACAAAACATCAAACAATAATTCAACCGGTTTAAATTCACATTTGCATTAGAAGGGCTAAACACATGAGTGGATAAGTCTCAGTTTCAGTTTTCTTTTCAGTTTATTGCAGTTCTGCTTCAGCTCGAGAAGCCTGTTCCTGTCAATCAAAATGCTTCCCTACTCAATAAAGACTGAATCCATGCAATTTTTTTATTCCATCAGAATTATAGTCAATTGGGACTGGGAGATGACAGGAAATTTGAATAAAGGTTATTTTCTGATTTAAAAAAAATCAGGAACAGGACGGAACTTCCGGGATTGTGACAGGACAGGACTATTTTTGTGGGAATGGGATTGGACAGGAGTGAAAATTCACTCCCGCCTACTGTACGGGGATTCAGGTATTCCCTCTTACCTCATCTGTTATCTGGCCTCCAAATGTCACCCAGGTGCCTGCAAAAATAAAAATGATTACACTGTGTGCGTGTGTGTGTGTGTGTGTGTGTGTGTGTGTGTGTGTGTGTGTTGCAAAAGAAGATCTGGAATCCCTTTGGCTTGGTTTGATTACAGGAAATGATTTAGTAAGTAAGTAAATGCCAAAAGAATTGCAACATATGAGTATTATTAAGGATGCAAGCTGTCATTGGAGAATGTGCAGGCAAAGATTTCTCTTAGAAAAATGATATTTGTTGACCAAGAATCATTAGTTTAAAATGTTTTGAACCTGCTAGAGGAATTGTGTAACTATATTTAAACCACTCATTTTCAGAAATCCATAAGGTTTTGTCAACAGACAGCATGTTTGGGGTGATGTAGCATACAGTATTATTTGACTTATTATTGTGGTCTGACATCATGCTTCACTGAGATTAACCTTATGTGGTTACATTAGTTTTTTAATAAGGTGTCTGTCTTTATGATACAATGACAGGGTCATAAGGAAAGTAATTGTTTTGTGACTTTAGATAATAGAGACAACATTTTATTCATCTTTATTGAAAAATAACACTTCCATAGTGCTGGGCTTCAGACGTTTTTTTTTTTTTGGAGATGATTTTACCTGCTTTAGAAAAGTATTATTAGGGTAATATGGGGTAAGAGTTTAATTCTTACCAAAGCCACAAAATGTATTTTTGAAGTTATTTGATCAAAGCAATTCTGACATAAGTTGATAAACTTTTTTTAGTCATTTAAAATGAGCTGTAGATAAAATCTAATAGTGTCAATCAATTTCAAGTTCAAAAGTCCACAAAATGTTGAGGATGGTCCATTGCATTTTGGTGCTCCTTTCGAATCGCACGCCAAACCTGCAAACCATCTCCTGAATCGGTCACATACGGTCGGCTCGCAAGGCTTCGAACGTCACCACATACGTCATCAACACAAGCCTTGATATGCGCTTCACAAAAAACATCCTGCATTACTCGACACACGCTTCGAAGCCTCGATACGGACGGACACATCACTAGCCCAACGTCCTGTTTTTGTCCACCTCAGTATCCACCTGAGCCCCGAGACGCTGCCCGTCTGTCTACTTGTACCCTGCCTGTCAGCCTGCCAAGCCACTTCGCCCTGAACAGAACTGAAGGACACCATTACCAAGCCCCGCTCTGTCTGGAAGACTCCGCTTAATCCCAAACCATTCGTTCCCTTTCCTGCACTGTTAAACTAATAAATCAGATCGTGTGTTCGACATCCAACTTGTGTCCGCCTCTGAATCCTCCAGTGAAACCTTAACAGTACGAACTGGCCAGTATGGATTCAGTGGACATGACGACGGGAACCCCCAGTAGTCAAACAGCCCTGGCCAGCCAAGGAGCCTTGTTAGGACAACACGAACAATCCATCCGGACTCTGAAGGACAATCAAGGTACCCATGAGCAGCTTGCTCACCTCTAAGACCAAGTAACTAAATTAATCCCTCTAGTTTTATCCACACAGCTCGCTCCAGTTAGCCTGCTCCCCAGCCACCTGTTCCAACAGAATCCTACACCCCGGGCCCTGAGCCGTTCGCTGGAGATTCAGATCCTGCCAAGGTACGTTACATCTTGGGGCTACAGGGAGAGCTCTAGCCTGGGCTGAACCCGTCAATGTAAACATGAGGTTTTTGACCACCCCGACCACACTGATGATGCTTCTGTTATGAGTTGTAGTTTTTTCCCTGTGAGTTTGAGTTTTTGCCATTGTTTCATATGTCTATTTGCCCGTTTCTCTCGTTCCCAGGGCTCCCGCCCTGCTCATTAGTCCCTGTGTGTGTGTATATATACCTGGTGTTTCTATCTTGTCTTTGTCGGGTCATTGTTTATTGTCACCCAGTGTTGCAGTTTGTTCTCGTGTCTTCAGCCTTACTCGCCGTGTCTCCCTGTTACCCTGCTCATTTTGGATTCTGGTTTTCACCCTTTTGGATTTCTGTTGGACAGCCTTTGTTTTTGGACTCAGTCAATCAGCCACTCTGTTTGTAAGCCCTGCTGGCTTTCGTGTCCTGCATTTGGGTCCTCCAACCTGCTCAACCCTGCCTATCACCACAAAACCGTGACAGCTTCTAGGCGGCTGTTAGAACTCCAGCAGGGAGCCCGTTCTGTGGCGGACTATTCAGTGGAGTTTAGAACTCTGGCTGTGGACGCGGGCTGAAACAATACCGCATTACAGGGTGTGTTTAGAATGGGGCTGAATGAAAGGATAAAGGATAACTAGCTTCACGTGACGACCCTACTAGCCTGAATTCCATGATTTCTCTGTCCATTCCATCCATGGAGCCCCTCAAGCTAGTTCTGTCAGGTAATCACAACGAATACATCTCTTTCAAACTAATCTCCGCACCTCAGACTCCAATCATTTTAGGTTACCCTTGGTTAAAACTTCATAACCCTCATATTGATTGGGCTTCCCACAGAATCATGGGTTGAGTCCTCACTGTCTGTCCACCTGTCTGCAATCTGCTCTATCACCTGCAGAGGGTGCTGACTCCCCATCCAACTCTGAGCCTCCAGACTTGTCCAATGATCCCAGCGGATATCATGACCTATAAAGAGTATTTAGCAAAGACCTAGCACTGTCACTTCTACCTCACAGACCCTATGACTGTGAGAATAAACTTCTTCCTGATGCCCCACTCCCGTCCAGTAGACTCTACAATCTATTGCATCCTGAAAGAGGCCATGGAAGTCTACAGAGATTCGCTGAAAGCAGGTCTAATTTGTCCTTCCTCGTCCCCCGTTGGTGCTGGTTTCTTTTTTGTGGAAAAGAGAGGGAAATCTCTCCACCTCTGTATCGACTACCATGGCCTCAACATCACAGTAAAAAATAAGTCCTCTGCCACTAATCAACTCAGCTTTTGAACCCTTGCAGCAGGCAACCATATTCTCTAAGCTGGACCTTCAAAACGCATATCACCTGGTGCGTATTAAGGAAGGAGACGAATAGAAGACTGCCTTCAAGATACCACTGGGTCATTTTGAATAACAGCTAATGCCCTTTGGGTTGACCAACGCTCCCGCAGTCTTCCAAAACCTGGTCAATGATGTGCTCCATGACTTTTTGAACCGTTTCGTCTTTGTATATTTGGATGACATCTTGATCTTTTCTAGGGACCCCACTGAGCACATTTCCCACGTTTGGCAGGTTCTTCAACAGCTTCTGGAAAACAGACTTTACATCAAGGCAGAAGGCGAATTCCGCTCCAAAAAAAATCAAGACGGTGGTGGAGTGGCAACTACAGCAGTTTTGGGGGTTCGCAAATTTCTACCGCAGGTTTATCAGAGACTACAGTAAGATCACAGCCCGTTTAACCCAGTTGACCTCAACCAAGTCATTTTCTCCTTTTGACAAGTTAAAATCCCTGTTCACGACTGCTCCTGTCCTAGTCCATCCAGATCCCTCCAAACAATTCATCGTGGAGGTTGATGCTTCATACAGGGGGGTTGGGGCTGTGTTATCCCAGCGTTCAGGCCCTGATCAAAAGATGCATCCCTGCGCCTTTTTCTCATGCCGGCTACACCCTGCTGAGAGAAGTTATGATGTAGGAAACAAGGAACTCTTAGCGGTTAAGTTGGGAACTGAGCAACCCTTCATTGTTTGAACTGATCATAAAAACCATCACATCGTCACCCTTTCGGTGACCTCTGTCCCTTACCTGTGCCTGGCCGACCCTAGTCTTACATAGCCCTGGACTTCGTCACCAGCCTGCCTCCATCCCAAGGCACGTGAAACCGCTGACCTCCTCATCCAGCATGTGTTCCGCCTCCATGGTATTCCCCAGGACATGGTATACCTAAATATTCCCTTGAGAGTGGATTACAGAAAACTGTAGCCCCAGTAAATTGGCCCCTATGTCATCATTAACCCCTCCGCTGTTAGACTCCAGCTGCCCCGGTCTATGAAGATTCACCTTACTTTCCATGTCTCCCAGTTGAAACCAGTGGTCTCCAGTCCTTTGTGAACTGAAGGATGCCATTACCAAGCCCCGCTCTGTCTGGAAGACTCAGCTTAATCCCTAACCATTCGTTTCCTTTCCTGCACTGTTAATAATAAATCAGATCGTGTGTTTGACATCTAACTTGTGTCCTCCTCTGAATCCTCCAGTGAAACCTTAACACTTAATTAAAAAGATAACTTTGGTCTGTGCCACGACTCATGAAGGTGTGTCAGATTTGATGTGTTTATCGCTCCTCAGAGTGCATATTTTGTATGTTTATATTAATATAATCACATTTAAACTCTGTGGTTTGCTCCTCCTCTGCATATTTGATAAAGAAATACAAATTGGGGTTTGGAGAAGGTCAATAACCGCTAAATCCATGTGTTTGTCAAAAGATTAAAGTAATTAACGAAGGTGCCCGTGCTGTGGGGATTTTGGAGAGGTCTGAGGCCTGTGATCCTCTGCCAACAATTAGGTCTGAGCAGCAGGAAGCACAGCTGAACATAAAACAGTGAAAACACAGTCTGCCTGGTGTTATGGGGGTCACTCATATCAAATGTTGATGTAGCCGATCACACAGCTCTTGTGATTATGCAGATTGTGTCAGACGACATCATGATTATAAAATAAAGATTTGCAGCAAGCTGTAAGTAATTAGAGTAGGGCTGATTCTGAGATGTCTGATAAATTCTGTACAGGCCTGGGGTCAACATCACATGTGTTTTAATTGTTATTAAAATGCTAACTAACTCTAGTGAAGGCTATTTATTGCAGTAGAAATATTTTACACAACATGGGATTCATTCCTGATCTTTTTTACTTTATTATAAATCAAACGTATCAATTTTCAGTCCACAGTTGAAGATTTAGGTGTGCGTGCCTGCTTTGTGAGGACTTGACATTCCTGCTATCTGTGAGGATTGCAATGATCAGAGGAACAATGAGATGCATTCTTACAGTTGGTAGGTTGGGCACTACTGTTTATATGTCCACATAAACTGGTTAGGTGTACAAAGAATCTAGACTACTGCACTGCTGACTGAGACATGTATCAAATCTATATTTTATAGTCTGAAGTCATCTGACAACACAAACAAGGAAAGTTAAGACAGCAGCTGTACTGTGTTTTCAGTTATTTTGTCTCATACTACATACATAGATGTTCATGGTGCTATTGTCATTGTAGATGCATGTATATCCCACTCACCTAATCCCAGACAGGACACTCTCAGACCTGATTTGCCCAGATTTCTGTTGAAAAAAAAAAGCACAGTCCAGTGAGAACAGCAAACTCCCCCCTCCCTAACACAGTGAATTGGTTTGTAGTGTCATGTAGAACAAAGCAGTATAAATATTGTTTTGTCACAGAAGCTTTCACTCAGAAGTTGTAGTCTTAACTTAATTATTCTACTGGTTGTTTATTTTTAGTGGTTCATTATAATTTTCCTCTTTTTAAGTTCTGGTTATTGGAGTACTTTAATTGTGTTTTTCTTCTGTCTGTGTTTTGTCAAGATGGATGCCTTGTCTACACAAACCAAATCTATCTACGGCTACAAATAATCCCATTCTTCATAAACTTGCTGTCAATATTATTAAATAGTATTGCTTGAACATTTGACATCAGATTGGTATTGTAGCCAACAGTGTGGACAAGAGACAGTTTTGACAGTGCCAACCCTTTACTGACAACCAATACAGGGGAGACAATTAAATTCACAACAGCTGGAAATTATTATTAACTACCACAAAACCTGCACCAGGTTGTTAGTGTCTGAAACTCCCCTCTGTGTGCAGTATCCTTATTGTTAGTTTTGAGTTCCACTATGGTTTTTGTCATCTGCAAATTTGATGAGTACTGGAATTGTGGGATGAGTTGCAGTCGTGTGTGAACAGAGTAAAGGGATGGGCTAAGAACACAGCCTTGTGGGACCCCAGTGCTGAGAGTGATGGTGGAGGAGCAGTGTTGGCCAAGCCCGACATGCTGGGGTCTTTGATCCAGTGACAAAGACTGGCTCCCAGACCTAGTGTTTGCACTTTTTGTTGACCAGTTTTATGGGGTTTATGGTGTTGAATGCAGAACTGTAGTCCACAAACAGCATCCTGACGTAGCTGTCTGTCATGCTGTATGCCTCCTTGCCTTGTTTAGTTGGTTCTCAGTCTTATTATTTGTAGTCTTTTAAGTTTCTGTCGTATGGTATGTTGGGTTTTGGGTTCTGTCCTGTGTATTGTCCTGTTGTCCAGTATGTGTTATTTAGTCTGTGTCTCTGTTCATGTCTTAGTGTTTACTTATGGTCTGTGTACTTCTGTGTTATTTTTCCCTTGACTGCTCTGTGCTCTTTTTAAACGTAGTTCGGTCGGTTTTCCCTGTTAGTTGTAGTATTTGTGATCTGTCTACTTATATCCTGGATTAGTTATTTATATTATTCTGTTTCTTCTTGGTTATTAGTTTCCCTTGGGCTTTATTTGTGTCTGTCTGTTTTCCCCTGCTGTCTCTGTGTCTCGTTAACCCTGATCCCAGTCACCTGTGTTGCTCCCACCCTGCTCATTAACCCCTGTGTATAAATATTTGGTGTTTCTGTTCATGTGTTGTTCAGGTGTTTTGTTGTGTCCTGACGCTCTGCAGTGTTTTGCCCGCCTTGTTCTGTCGTGTTGCATCTCCCTGTTTCCCAGTGTTTTGTGGATTTAGTATTTTCCTTGTGGATCACTTTTATTTTGGATTTCCTGGACTCAGTCACTACATTGTAAGTGTGCTCGCTTTTTGTTGGATTTTTATTCTTTAGCTAAACAGTTATTAGAAGATTATTATTTTTTATTAGGAGTTGATTTCCATAGGTTCACACCATGACTCCTTAATTACTTTGTAATTGGTTGATTAGTTGTAGATTTATTTTGGCCACTTCCACATTTTAGCTCAGGGCTATATGCACATATCTATAACATGGTTATAGCTCTGAGCTCATCTTACCTGTAGATCATGCCAGTGGCATAAGACATGCTGTCTCTGAGTGAAACATGGTTCATCCTAAGGAAATCCTCCAGATTTTTGAGCTGAGCAGCTGCGCGGACCTCTCTCAGACGCTGAAACTCTGCTAACTGGCTACTGCGCTGCTGCTTTTCTTCCTGCTCCAGTGCTTGCTCTGACAAGAAACAACTCAGGCCACTGTGTACACTCTCATTCATGGATGACAGTGACATTATCTTGCCTCCAGATCCGCCACTTGCACTGCTGATGCTACTGCTTCGACATATCCCACTGCTGTCTCGACTCCCAGGTGGCACCCCTCCACTGCCCCCAGGCTTGGGCATCTACAAGTTGATGTCAAAACAAAAGCTGGTGTCAAAATCAAACAGGAGTGTGATAGAGCCATGACAATAAATACCACCTCCACCAATGTGAGTGGGTCGGACAATCATCAGGACATCATCAGCTAACCCTCCTCTCAACCCTTCCCACTGCCATGTACATCATGGCTTGCAACATAATCACAGCTGTGTTTCATGGTCTCTGCTCTGTCTCTACTGTCTGCATTATTGAAGTACAAACTCTGAATAATTTATGGGCGAGTTAAGTATTGTGCATGACGTACTGATGTGCTTTACTTAAGTGTCTCTGCAGATGAAAAGATGAACATGCACACATGCCCATGACAATGCCATTTAAAACAGTGCAAGATCCATACTCACACACTAGGTGCCTGGGTAGACATCTGTGGAATTGTGGCATGCATTTGGGGAGACATAGCACTGTTGGCTGAAGGAAGAATTGAAAGACAAGATGATCTTTTTAGATCTGACAGTATCACAATAAAGTTGTCAGGATCATACAAGGAGACAAATAGGTAGCAAAGTGAGTATAGGCTTAGATAATGTGACACTGATGGTGTTGAATTAGGAACACAATAAACTGTCTGTAAAAGTTGTTTATCCTGAAAACATACCCTAGTTTGTTGCTTTTTCTCATTGTCATTTTTGTAGTAAAAGCTATTCAATACATTTCCCTTCTGTAAATGCTTCCATTATAAATGATGAGTATAGATATGGCGAATGCTGATTAGATGGTCCATCTGCACTGGGAAGAGTTGATTTATTTTTAAGGACTGCCCAAATTTTATCAGGTGGGGAGGGTGATTCAGGAAAAAGGGTGGGTTATGTGTTTTTCTTTATTCTGCTGAAGGGAATATTTTCTCCTCCTGCATTTATAATTAATTTAATTCTTCCCTTGTGAAAGACTCCTCTGCAATATAAGAAAGACCCTTCCCAGAATATCTGAGCAGGCGCCGTGTGCGTATTTACTCAGTTGCCTCAAAATCTGTTTAGAAGGCAGTGTGCAGTACATACTAATTCAGTATGTGGTAGGCAGTACGTTGGCATGCGATTTCGAACACAGCCCTAGAGTTTGTGACTAGCAAAGAGAGGGCAAGCAATCTACACATGTAGATCGCTGCTCTGGTTCAGGTGGTAGAGTGGGTTTTCTAGTTATCGGAGGGTCTGTGGTTCGATTCCCCCAGTGCAGAAAACAGTGTAAGATTAGAATTCAAACTAGACTGTAGAGAACCAATAAAAATAATTTTAGTGGTTGGTCATTAAGTCCTTTTTTGACAAAGTTCAGATCTGAGCTAATCACCAGCACAAAATAATTTGTTAGTTGGCATATCTCTAATTAAACCAGTACTGAAAACTAAATAATCTTATCCTGTTTACGAAGCCCAGATTAGTTTAGAGCATGCATATCTTATGAACGTGTCAAACACGGGTTGTATGTCCATCAGTAGAGACCCATGGCATATGCTTGTCTCCTGTATAAAAAAAAAAGCACCTTCTATTTATAACATTACATCACACAAAAAATGAAATACAATACAGTACTTTGTGGTTAATGGTCACATGCTTGGTTATGTTTCAGCCATGATTTTAATTGTGATTTAAAACTACAGCACTGCCTGATAGTGCTGGGTATGGTATTCCAAATGTTTGCAGCTGTAATGGAGATAGCTGACAAAAGCAGCCACATTCAGTAGACAGTGGACTGTACTACACGGTTCCCTGATGTCATCTGAGCATAGTGAAGCTTAGTGTGTAATCATTCTTTATGTATATCTGTTTGTTTTTACAAACAATATCATAAGGTGGTATTTATTGCAATAAATTCTCATAAGCTAATAGAACCACACTTTATAAATGCAGTTGTATGATAACTTCAAATTTCCATGAAGGCCAACCTTTTTGATGTCCTCACACATGCAAATAAAGAGTGCAATCTCTGCTCAATCCATTTTCCTAACCTGCTAGAGCGCTTATACAAGAAAATCCCCAGCCATTCAATAATTTAAGACCCTCTTTCCACATCCTGATGATGAAGATGGAACATATATCATCTAACTACATTCAGTGAGACTGAACAGAAGAACAGTGATGCCTCAGCAAAGGACAAGAAAAGAAAGTCAGAGAACCAGATGTGAAACTATCTTGGGCCACCACAATCTTCCCCTTTTCATGGATCCATATAGTACTCCATATATGGGCAGCATATCCACACAACATCAATCCTTATATTCCTTTATCAATCAATCTATCCTAAACACTATTAGCTACTCACCCGACTGGCTGGCGTTCGGCCAATGTAGGGGTTCTGGACTACACTGCTCATGATAACGCTTGGTGATGGTCTGATGTCAAGCAGAGTGGCTTCTGGACTGTTTTTAAAGTAGTTGGTGGAAGAGTTAATATGGCTTTCTACTCCCTCCCTTTCGTCACATGGCACAAAAGGGCCCTATCAGCAACCCTGTCTGCACTGCAGAGGCCAGAAAATAATCTCACAAGTAAATTATTTATCTTGGCACCAAAACTAGCATCTGCACTAAAAGCTTGTGATTATCTGCTATAGCCGAAGGCATACTAAAAGCCTGTAATTTAGATTTGTCTAACATTCAACACTTTTCAGACAAATTCTCTGTGTATTTATTAAAGGTATAACTACTACTACTACTACCATAGATTTTGATTTGGACCTACCATTGTTTAACTCTAGCTGAATTGTCCCAACCAATATTTCTAACAATCTCAAACGATCTTGTCCTTTTAAATCCTCATAGAGTTAACTTGTTGTTTGTGTGTTTTGTGCAAAAAGGAGGCTCCTTTGATGGAGAGTGAAAGCGAGATCTGATGTTCTGTCAACCCCTCAGGCTGTCGCATTGTCAGCTAGAAGCACCACTGGAAGACATCACAGAAATAAAAATAATGTTATCACTGCATTTAACAAGCATCAGTCAGTTCATACGTCCTTGATTTCTGCCTGGCTCCTCCCAGATATATTATATATCAAAATAAGTTGTAGGGAATAAGGGCTAGGTGGGGGAACACAGCTGTGCACAGACTATCATGTCCATGAATGTCAGGGCAGTTTCATCACAGAACGGTCAAACAAGATCTCCACCGGAATCTCCCACACCATTAATAAACATTAATGTTATAAATACTGATGTCAAAGATTATGATTTTACTTGCGCTGTAATATAATTGTATAGATTCTTGTGGGCGAGATGTGATAAGATTTTTCCATCAATACACACATTGTGTGCAAAAAACGCTATTGCTGCTCAAAGCTAGCTTGTATTGAAACACTATCCTTACCCCCTTTTCCATGAATGGAACATAAATTGCATTTTCCAACTGATCTGTTTGTCTGTGAATGCGATTAACCGTTCTATCAATGCCTGAACACACACATGTGGAGCTGCAGGATCTGAAGCGTTACAGTGAAACTGTTCATGAGTTGATTAAAGTAATACAACATAAAAATGTTATCAAAGCTGCAAGCGGCAGTTCACAATAGACAACAGAGAGAAACAAGAGGATGACACTCAAAGTTCTCCAACAGGATATAAACCTGAAATCTTGTAGTCACAAAATATGGTATCATAGGCTTATTGTCCACCAGGACATCAGAGTTTGGTTCTTAGTTTTTCTTTGACAGCTAAACTGACTAAATATTGCCTGAGTTCTAGATACAATCATGTTGTTCACTCTTACTGACTTCAATGCACCACCTGTAGAATGTATTATTAGGAATTGTTTTGCTAGTGAGTATGGAAAAGACTAAACTAATTTAGATGTGTGTTATGCCTTTATATAGGAAATCCTCTAGGAAATCCTCTATCTCATTGAGGAACATTTGCCTGGGCTCAGCATTTCTGGTATCAAACCACCAACCTTCTGCTTAGTGAACAACCCGCTGTATCTCCTGAGCCAGAGCCACTCCATTTAGAGACCCCTTGTTCTCGAGCTCCACAATGCCTACCAGCCAGATAGTAACGAATGTTTGGCTCAAACCTGACCCACATCTGCAGTTCTCTTATGGCCCCCATTTGGCCTTGAATGACTGCATGGACTCAAGCTGAGGTCCACCTTTTTTTGGGCCAGATGTCAGGTGTCTAGTGGATGGACCAAATAAATTTACCGTATGCTCACCTTACTGTACATGGGCCATGTGTCTTGCATGTTGTGGGCAAGGTGTGGGAATTCGTGAGTTATGTTCATGTTTAGTGCCTGCTCAGGACCTACAAAACTGACCACATATTAATATCATATGGACCAGAACAATTTACCATAGTTCCACCTCAAATAACTCAGATAAGCACCACAACAATTTACCAGTTCTGCATTACCAGCACACCACCCTCAACTTTCATCCCAAGTCTCAAATGAACTAAAACAAACAAAGCAGTTCTACATCTTAGCAATGACTGCTTTAGCCATTCATATCAAATTATTAAGATTAACTGATAGTAAACAGGGACTTTGTGTTTCTTTGATTAAATGTAAAATATTATCCAACAGATACATGTTTTTGGTTACACCTGTGCGGGGGAGTGGTCTTTTTTGCACTCAGTGTAGGGGCTAGCCTTTCATAAGAATAAAACTTACATGAAAACACTTCACTTACACAGGATTTTCTTGGGAGAAACTAAACATGGAGAAGTAGCGTTTACCTATTATTGCTCTTAAGTGGAACCAGTTGACAGAGAGCATGAGAGGAGCCCGGACACTAGACACTTTTAAATCTAAGTTAAAATAAATTCTATTTGACCAGGCTTTTGGCTCTGTTTAGCGAATTAGTAATTTAATTGCATTGTTTAAATCTTGTTTTTAATATCTATAGTCTTTTAATTATTTATTTATATTTTTCTGAAGGATCTTTGTATTTGTACTGGCACATGTCCAGGGTGTATCCCGCCATTTGTCCCATGTCAGCTGGGATTGGCTATTTTTCATATCCACTCCCATGGGCATATGCTGCCTACTCTAGGTGGGGATAGGTATTTACTATTATGGGGCCACCAGATGGCAGCAAATATGTGGCAGGAAGAGACGCTGACAGCATAGCATTAGCAATATCATTTCTCCATTAAAAATAAATGATTTGAAGATAGTGAGCACGATTGGATTTTTGCTAAAATGAATACAAAAATACTAAAAGACATCCTGCATGTGCAAATACAATTTTGTGTGTTTGGGAGAAAATATATTTATTATTAAGCCTATACACACTTTGCTACCTATTTGTCTCCTTGTATGATCCTGACAGATTGACAGATTTGCATCACATTTAAATCTGTATATTAAGAGGAGGTCAATAATAACTCTGTCACAGCCTATCAAAATCCTATTTCTCAGTTCACATGTTGGTGCACTTAGAAGTACCTGCAGCTGAGCATGGACAAAACAAAATAACTGGTTGTTAGCACACCACACTGGACTGAACCCGCAAGACAGATTAACAGATGAGCAGCTTCAAATAATACATTCTTGGACTCATTGTAGACAATAAACTCAGTTTTGATTAAACACTTATAAAATGATCCCAGCAACTCCGTGTACTGCACAAACTCAGAGCACTGTCTCTTACCCCTAGCTCCTGTTGATCCTTTACTACTACATAATTCTGCCACCTGGCAGGAGGGAGTTACAAACTCAGTTTCACTCACGTCTTGTATAATTCAACCCATCCTGCTGTACTGCTCCCTGTGCTTCTTTACCCTGCACCATCTCCATCAAAAACAAACTTACCAGCATCACGCATACCATTTCAACTTTGCATCATTTAAATTGCATGATTTTATGGTCTGTGTCCTGAAATGTTTTTAAATCTTTGTTTGATCATGTAAAGCACTTTATAACTTTGTTTTAATAAGTGCTATATAAATAAAGTTCATCATTATCATTATTATTATTATACAACAACTTATCATAACTGTTCTCATGTGCACATTAACTTCTGTGTAACTGGCAGAACATATAATTATGAAAAATTATTTAATTTTTAATATTCCAAAATTGTGGCTGTGTTTTCTGATGACGTCATTTATAACATGTAAGTTAAAAGTAGTGGTCCTAAAATCAATCCTTGAGGACAAGTAAAAATGTCTGCTCTGAAAAAGGTCTATGACTTTCAAATACAAAGGTCACACTAAGACGTGATGACACAACATTGTCACGTGAGAAGTTTGCTCCACCAGTCCCACACATTCCACTCCCATGTACATCCAGGAGGCAAATGTCAGCAGAAGAATGTGCCCATTAAGTGATGCTATTAAAAAGGACAGTGTTTGTCAAAAAGTAATAGTAACCATTTTTGTTATCTGTATTAGAATTAAATTGAGATTATCCTGTGCTGCCATGGTCTAAACCTTGCAGGATGTAATCTAGTGGAGGTGTCTCCACCAAATGACACCACAGGTACTTTGCAAGGTATTTCTCATTAAATGCCAAAGTTGTCCTGCTGAATAAGCAAAATCTACAAAACATTAAATTTTTCAGCGTTAATTAACAAACAAAGCATTTTATTATAACCAACAAGAGGATAAATGCACTATTGAAGACCAACTGACAGTAGCTGACATATTTTTTTTTACACTTAAAAAAACAATGACTACAGCATTTTGATAGATCCATGTAAACTATTCACCTTATCTTTCAAACAGGTCCTAGATAATGATTCTGTACAATATTTACATCATAACAAATTATATTATTAATGGCATTTTACACTTAATGTTGACAAAACAAATGATAAATAACAACACCAACAATTACAATAAACCAAGAAAGCATACACTATGTTTGACTTTACACAATTCAAGATGACATAATGTTTCAGTTAATAGTGGCCATTTGGAGAACATTCAGAAAATAAAGACAGCCTGTTATGTTTGCTACATAAAGCTACTGGCTGACTGAGGTTGTTAAATAAACCAAGTGAAATACATTTTGAACCACAACCTAACATGAATAAACCCTTGAGGTCCAGCGTAAGAGGCTATGTCATCATAGCAGTACGCTATATTGCACAAGCGAGTCCGCATTCAGGAGATCATTTTCAACTGAAAAGAAATTGGGCTGAGATGCATAAAAATGGAAAGAGATTTAGTGTTGTATGAGACATGCATCTCTATTCACAGTATTCATCAATGAAGACGAACGTAGTCCTCCTGTCGCCTTGATTGTGTGTGAATATGACTCATGGTCATGACGGCAGGAGAGTAAAGGCGGCCACAGTGATTCAGTTTTCAGTTCTCAAGGCTGTAGCAGCAGCATTTGCCTGACTGAAATATGACAATCAGCAGTAGAAAACAACATGCACTGAGTGTAAGAGGGGTACACTAAAGGACCTGTCCCACAGTAGTTGCACTGAAGCCAGGTTTGTAATATTAACCCAACTTTAAAGACATCTGTACCTATTAAATATCTTAAGTGCAAAAAAGGCAGCTCTACTTTCAGCAAAACACGAGGGGAATGTGACAGTAGATAAATACCATGTCCTTGCTAACTCGCCTCGACCTATTTACTGGGGGTGATCTTGTCTAGTCCTGGCCAGGCGGGAATGTAATAGCGAGGCAAAGTGCCTTCCATTAGCCTTTCCATCCACAACCCCAGGCGGTCCAGTTTGTGGTGGATCTGCAGGGTGGATATGCTGCGGGATCGGTTGGACTTGCGCGGTGGATGGTCATCACGCAAACTGGATCTCGACCTCCCTCCTGAAGCGGCCCCTTCATCCTCTGATGACTTACTGTCAAGGTCTTCCCCAGTGTAGACGGGCTTGAACAGACAGAGGTACTTTTTGTGGCCGTTAAGCGCCAGCACGTAGCCGGTGTAGTCTAGCTTGTGGTTGCCTCCGTCATCGTCGTCTGCATCAATCTGCGTGGCATCCTGGGCGTATTCCAGCAGTGTGTTCATCCAATCGCTGTGCTTGTCGATGTTCAGGAAGGAGAAATGCAGCGTCAGGCTCCTAGGAGAGTGTTGAAATAATGAATGTGATGAAGTTGCTATAAGCAAGGTTGTTTAAAACACAATAAAATGTTCAAAAAACACTTATAATGGACTCCACACATGGAAAAATACATATTCAGCTTACCCGGTGAAAGAGTAAACCTCTTTGGCAAACTTGCTAAGGAGAATGTTCTTGGAGGCATCAGTGAGCACCAGCACTATGTTCATGTGTCCTGGCCTCAGCTTCACCAGGTTGCTCATGTAAGTGATATCTGTCAGCTCCGTCACCTCCACAAAATTCTTCTTGGGAGGCCGACTAGAGTCAACAGCCAAAATAAAAGAGCTTAAAAACATGATGAATCCTGCACTCGATAAATGTTAATATGTCAATTATAAGTGTATTCTTGCCTTGAAGTACTACCGGCCCCCGGTGATCCATTTTCTGCTTTTGTTCCATCTTTTGCCTTTGGTTTAGTCTGCTTATCGTCACTTGAGTCACTGGAAAACAAACAAACAAAAAAATGTTTTCCCCAAATGAGAAGCGTAGAAGAGTAAAATAAATGGCATTATTACTTTTTTCTTTGGCCAGTCTTTAGGTTCCTTTATACTTAGGCTTACACTAATCCCAGGAAAATGTGATGTTGCTATCTTTAACACTTTTGGTGGTCTAGTGAAAACGTGTTTGGTAAAGCAACTAACCTGAAGGCCTGGATGACCACGGTTCCAAACAAGATGAACAAGGCAGAGAAGATGAGG